CTTATAATTCTATAAGTATTTTATTAGATTTAATATAATTTTTTATATTCGAAACTACGAAAACTACAAAACTACAAAACTACACTACAGTTAATGCTCTGCTTAAAAGGAGTTTAAAGTAGCGGTAAAGGCTTTAAAGCTACTAAGCTTATAACCTATTATAATTATATGTATTATCCCGTTATATGGAATAAAAAGTATAAGTTACACCGGTACATATTATAGGCGGGAAGAGCCCGAATCGACACCCCACCTACCAACCCAGCCGAAGTGACTGTAATTGGTTGTGGAAATCGAACACGAGCAAGTAGGTAACTTATTCGGTAAATATTGGGACAGACACCTGGGTAGGCGGTCTGGATAGACTGGGTTACCTTTTCCGTACGTTAGTTTAATCGGTTCCTTTTAGTTCCACGCCTTAGTTCCTTGACCTTGTTTGGTGATTGATGATCTTCTGGGGCTGGGCCGTCTTGGCAAGTCAGTGCCTTCCACAAAGTGTCACTAGTAAACTGTAATTGGAACATCGCGGTTCCATTTTCTCTGTTGCACTTTAAAACCGTATGGGCAAGTGACCATTCCTCATAGCTTCTAACACCAGAATGAGCAGGTGTTTTGTCTGCACCAGACGCGTTGTCGCTGTCTGTCGTCGTTTTCTTCCTTAATAAGCGTGGATTCCTACTTCGCGACAGCTCCGATTCGCCTTGCAGTGGGTTACGCTTTGTCGGTTGAGGGAATACAACCTTACGACGTTTGTGATGTGCCGTACACGCTTCTTCCCTCTCGCGATTTTCTTCCCCGGTGAGTTGCCTTTTGACTGGGAGAGGGCGGAGATTGTACGCCTTTCTGTAGCTAAGACGACGAGATGACGGCTTTGCTGTTTTTTCGCAGGTTCCATCAACCTGGCTCACTTTAAGCTGAGCATTTGTGCTTGTCTGGCGCTCCTTAACCGGTCGTAAACTGTTCGGCGATGGGCTGAGGCAAGGAACCAGCGGCAAACTATCATCTGCTGCTTGGTGTTGCTGATCAGCTGCCGTGGAATTTTCTCTTGGGGAGATTGGACAGCATCCCCACGGGAGTGTTTTGGTTAAGGCTGGTTGAACTGCCCAATGCAGCTCGTCGTCGCTTTGCAGCGCTACTCCATCCATACGGCCATGGTCATCATTGGTGATATGACTCTGACCGCTCCAGTTTGACGCCGTGGTACTGCCATCCCGCGGCCGCAAAGGCTGTATGAGGTTGGTTGCGGACGAAAGACGAGTCTGGTAGGAAGAGTCTGCATACTGCTGGTGCAGTACTTTATCACCTGAAAGCAAGATAGGGGCAGGCTGCGCTGAGGCACATCGGGAGGCCGCTGAGATCACACAAGACCCTTGTGCTGGCATAGGTAACACAGGTCTCACCGCATTATCGTGATGTTGTGTTGCCGGATAAACCAACAGATTAGAGTCGGCGGTACTCCACGGGCTCTCGGGGATACTTGAAGCAAAAAAAAACTCTGTAGGCGAGTTTGAGGCTGATGGATCAGAATTCTCAGGATCCTCTGGAACGCAAAGCTCCTGTGCTGAACTCTCTGAGTTCGTGTCAGCCAGTGCCGTACCCCGAAGTAGGGTGTAAAAGGTCCACGGGTACCCATGTGGGTTGCTTACCCGTGGGCTTTGGGTAGGTATGGGTAGGAAAAAAAGACCCAAATGGATTCATGGGGGAAAATGGGGTGCCCATGACTATCTATTAGAAATATTGGGTATTTTTGGGTACCCAGATAAGACCCATATAAGTTAATATAACTTACTTTATGCTTTAAAAACTTAAGACTTATTATAAATACGATTAAATATTAAAGGGTTAACGTTAATTATTATAATAAATACTATAATTAATTTATTTATTTAATTTACATTATTATATTATATTATTATACGTTTATAGGTATCCATAGGGTACCCATCTTTATATTGGGTTACCCGTGGTATACCCAAACCACCCACATGATAAAATGGGTAGCCCACGAATAACCCAAGAAAAACTTGGATACCCACGGGTGCCCACGGGTACCCGTTTTTACACTCTACCCCGAAGCTTGGTTTGTGAGTGCTCACCGATGTTCTCCGTTGAAACTCCTCCTCCGTTAACCATAGATGCCAGAATCGCAGAGATAGAAGAAAGCGAGTCGTCAGGACGCTGGTCGTGTACTAAGTTGACACGCGGGACACTGTGTTCCGTCATTTCGTCGTCGCTGTCTGTGCCGGAATCAGAATCGGACGGGATTGATATCACGTCCTCTTAAGTCCACGGGCGATCAAGAAAGGAACAGGCTCTTGTAGTTTGTGCCATCATGTCGGTGTACTGTACAAAAGGCGTCCTAGAAAGCTAATGAGGTTTGAGCTAATGGGTGTTGAAGCATCTGAAGTTAGTCCGTCCGTCCGGGTAACGCAACCATGAGATCCAGGGACTCTACCTACGCTGAAAGGTTTGTACGAATCCAGGGTATGGCTGTATGCGCCTCTTACAAGTCAAAGGCAGCAAATTTGTGAGGAACGATAAAAAGCAAAGTCAAAAAATTTACGCAGCATCATGGGGGGCAACCTCTTTATATACCCGTTGGAACTCAGCATGGCATCCCTCTGTATTACCAAAGCCTCGTCATACCTCCGAGCCGCCGCCCACGTCGCTATTAGTCCAGGGGATCAGTTTATGGTAACCCATTGAAAACAGCTCAAGAAGCCTTTACTTGCGTAGATACTCATGCACTTGGGGCCACTAAACTCAAAGGAGTGGCAATACTATGACAAATCGTTATCAATTTAAATCAAAGGACGCTTGAGAATCCTTAAAGCATGGCCGTTATGCCGTCAACTGTCAACAAACCGCCGCTATATTGCCTCATTACGACGGAGATTCCTGATCCATCTACAAGTAAACCAGGTACAAATGGTTAAAGATTATTCAGACTGTTCGGACTGTCTCAAAGAAGGTAACTTTAATCCCTACGGAAAGCCAAGATAACACGCAATCCCCTTCCCTCGGGGCTTCAACTCTATCAAGTCTTTAGTGTTAATGTCGGATCAGGCTTATAGGGCGGTTCGGCTTTTCGGCGGGCGATTTTGCCGTATTTGTGTTGCCAGGCGAATGAGAACGTTCCTATAAGTCGAATGACTGGTTTCACGTCGCAGACGGGTCATTCGTTCGACAGACGTCTAGGAGAAACTTACGTTTCCATTTCTGTCCTGGAATTGTCACTATTCTGGGAGGCATCGACTTCATCCAAAACTTGCGGGTTTAAAGTAGCACGGAACAAAACGTCCACAGAGTGAACTCGGATCCCAGGGGCACCGGTACTTGCTTTAAGTTCTCTGGCCTTGTCAAGATCGTCAGGGTAGCAGTTAGTCCAAAGCATGAATGATACATCCTGCGACGCAGATGAAGATTCCAGTCGTGCAGAGTCGCTGGAAACCAACTTGGCGTCCTTGATGTCTGGTTCAACAGAATCATCACCTGTCCATTTTCGGAGGCTAAAGTCAGCAGGCATATCTTTGGTGGTGTCCTTCATCGGGCTGGAGATGTCATTCATCTCTGGCACTCCACTCAGGTGCGCTGCAGTGTCAATAACTGAATGAGTTCTAGTTTTAGAATTTGCTGTATGGAACGGTATTACAGACAACTGTGTAAAATTGTGACTAGAGGCGTCGACTATATCAGACACAGCTTCTTCCTGTTGCATTGGCTTAGGCTTGGGAGGCTTAAAGAGTTTGAACGGCTCGTCGAGTTCCATATTTCTAAGACTAGAGACGTTGGCGATAATTGAAAGCAGAGGTCTAGTGCCTGCTGAAGGGTTCTCTGCTGTCACCCTTCTAGTGTCGACTTTAGAAGGGCCGTCGGAAGCAAAATGCCTGACAGTTTGCTTAGTTTCCAGCACACGCCAGGACTCTTCGGTCATAGGTGGAAGGCCAGTATTAACGTCGCTGAGTTTGTAGGGCCATCCATCATAAAGGCCCAGCGTGATGCAGTCCTCGTCCGTTATCTCACGAGCACCATCATTTAATGAAAAATCGGCGTTAGTGTCCCACTTCTCAGCATTATCCATTGACTTGTTACGAGCGTTTTCGGCAACTGTGGCCGACCCAACCTGAATATCAAGCTGAGCATTAGAAGGAGCAGAGTCACCTGTCGTCACTGGATGACCAACGGCGCTCAAGGAGACAGGTCGTAAAAGATTCACATCTCCACGGGGTGGTGGGGTGGGACAGAGGCCAGAAAGTTGGACGGATGATGCGCTGAGAGGTTCCTCGTTAGAGTAACTTGTGTCCTTGGCTGACGGTCCTCTAGTGACTTCAGAAGTGTTTTTGATCCAAGGTTCAAGGCCATGGTTTGCGTCCATACCGCCGATGTCCTCGCTTTGATCACATAACATATTTGAAGATGTGCATCGCTCGTGGATGGGAATTTTATCGATGCCATCATGTGAAGTTTTCTTATCAGATATAGTTTCTTCTGTGTCGTCTTTAGAAAAAGCTTTATCAAAATGCGAAACCAAATCGTTCATGTTAATGCCCTCGCCTTGACCCCACTTCAGCCGGTTTTCTTCAGTCATATTCCTAAGACTGGAACCTGGGAGTGCGTCCTGGTTAGGATACCGTAGTTCCACTGAACAATTTGCTGACTCAAAGCACGGCATGATCTCTCCAATGCTAGCATCTTCGGGATTGTTGCTAGCATCGGCGGGATTTCTATGAGCCTTTTCATTTTCAAGGCCGAGATTTTTGGTCTTATAAACCAACCCAGATTCCTCTTTAACATCATCCGATGGAGCCTTTATCAACGGTTCATGAGGAGAGGCCAAAAGCTCCCTGAATCCTGGTCAGCATTCTATGGCGTCTAACTATGGCACAAGGGACTAGACTTACTTTCTAGAAAGACCACACTCAAGGTCTGGCTTGCTCTGTGACAGACGTTCCTTTTTGTTGCCTTTATCCTCACCTTTCACCCACAGACCCTCACCCGTATCAACTTGGGGGAGAGGCGTGGCAGAGCGGATTTCAGCGGAGTCTGGCTTCTGCTTAGGCAAGGGTTGAGGCATCTTGTTACTAAACGATGTCCAAGTTATCAAACACTTAAGATGTAAAACGTCATGGAAGGAACATGTTGCCAAAAGCGAAAGAACAGAGTAGGGACTTTATATCTGTCCAAGCCATTCCCAATACATTCAAATTAATAAATCAATACTTGCGGCTACGGCATATTGGCTGTGATCATGCAAGTTGCCATGAAACAACATAGTCGAGATTAGTGAACCAATACAATGCACGCAGATGCAGTGCCATTTCTGCAAGCCGTATCACATTGCAGCTGGAAAGGATACCACAGCTTGTGGTTCCAGGCTAGTGTTGGATGTCGTCTCACAAAAGACACCACAACTTGTGATCCTTGTACCTTATAGACGACAGGGCCTCGGATCAGGATTTTATTTTACCCGGGAAGAGTCCTTTGCTGTGTCGTGGGTAAAGGTCGCTTAAGCAATCACCCCTCAGACACTCGATTGGCCGATGCACGTGTTTTTGGCCCATATGCGGGATTTCGTAGCCAAAGTGCGGAGGAATTGTGAATGTCCACTGGTGATAATCATGGCTTTGAGGATGCAGAAAACCTACTCCTAAACGAAGGCTTCTTCTTAGCAGAAGGTTCCGCTCTAGGAGATGATATTTCTGAGATGGAGAGGAGGCGTTTCCCATACTACTCAGAATACGGCCTCGAGTTTTGTAGTCAACATGTCCTCAATCAGGTAAGTGGGATAAACGAGTCGTTTGAATTTGCACCTCAATTGTTCCAGCGCATCTGCCCTATCATCACCACTTGAGGGTAAAGCATGCATACTTGCACACTGGCTGAGGTATAAGGCGTATCCCGGCCATATTCTTTGTTTCAGGAGTGGAGGCCCGAAGGCTGGTCGTCGACGGCTGGTAATCCAGCTACTACTCGTGCCACGCCCCACTATTTTAGGGGCCTCGTTTCACTCACCACCTAAAGGTGTTAGGTGGTGAGTGAAACGAGGCCCCTAAAATAGTGGGGCGTGGCACGAGTAGCCAAAGGCTCCAAAGTTGCCTACTGGAGCCATGCGCATGACCATGAACTACCGATAAAGCGAGGGGACAGGCTATTGCATGAGTTTTCGGGACCTGCACTTCTTGCTGTAGGCTGCAAACGCACTGAGAAAGAATTTAAAAATGGCGGAATGTGAGTTGCCTCGTTGTGATGCAATTACTAGTGCTAATGAACGGCGCAGAGCAGTTTTTGACGGCCGTATTGGTTTCGAACTCAACGAAGGCTATGCTATTACTTTCGAGTTCGCTACAGTTGACGTAGTTGAAAGATGGACAAAAATGACACTTCCAAACACCCCAGGGCTGGCCGAAAAAGTAACTGCTATGCAATCACCGAACATCCGAATTAACTTTGCGTTCGAGGAATCTCCCCAAAATGCCGAACCCTAGCCTTCTATACCCTGTACTCTGATTCTCCACCTCGATTTTCCTACGCTGGCCATGGCTCCAAGAAGTTTGGGAAATTTACGATACCATTCACGGGAGCAACAAAATCGAGGTCGTCCAGTATTCCGGTCGATTCTAGGGCCGAATTTGCAGCGAGGACGTCTGTCTGCATGCTTGCCAATGCATTTGCCACTCTGTCGGTCCCTATCGCCAGAGGCACGACGTTTGCGGCAAGTTGGTTAGAAGCAGGTCGTTCCTGGACTAAAACACCTCCTTCTGCGACGCCAGCTTGGTCGAGAATCAATTTAAAAGGATAAACACCATTGGCAGATGATGATTGCAAGTTGTCCCGTGTTTGTCCAACGTCATCCCGCTTGCGTCGCCGAGATCCAGCTGAGTGATTATCGAGCTCGGCCATATCGCATGTTCTCTTCGTTGATGCACTGTCGCTGTTTAATCGACGATTCTCTAAATCCTCTAGTTCCTCACTTGCCCGATCACGCAACTCTTCACATATTTTGTTCATGTACGTAAGCTTTGTTCCGCCCGCATACTTATGTACTTCCGTATGCCGTATGAAGGTCCTCACACTTTTCATGACCCGATGACAAAACACACATACTTCTTCGCACTCGACATCTTAGAGTACATGTCAGTAGTGTTTGCTGCCGGAACGGAAGGGGCTCTTTACGTTGTTCAGAATGGCGACGGAGTCTTTGGCGTGAGGCGAATGGCGCCGACCTCCTTTGACAGCCCTGGATAGGACAGTAGTGCTGTTTGCGAACATGGCCATTTCGTCCAGAATCATCCTCACTTTCGGTCGGCGAGTCATCACTGTCATCGGCCTTCGCATGACCTTTGCAAATATCCACTCGAGCAGTTAGGTAGCTTTCGAGCGACAGTAGAAGTCAGTGGTGAACTTGAATAACAGTATACCACTTACTCTGTTCTCTTCCAAATGGGCATTCAACGCACTACTTGTTGGAAAGATAGCGGAACACGTACATCTGGGGTAGTGAAGGATATCGTTCGCCATGATCGTGACCAGATAAAAGTTACAACAGAAGGTAAATGTGGTTGCGCCGAGGCGCCACTTAAGGACAATGTCATATCACGTGACGGTGCCTGAACGAATCAGGATCGTTTGGGTAACAAGAGACCGAGGTCACCTGAGGGGCAAATAGCCAATATAGTTTCCATTTCATTAAAAGGTCTATGGTCTCGCTTTGATTTCGATTCCGGGTTGCATCTCACACAATCTCTTCATCGCAACCCGAGCCTAGAGTTGCTAGTTTGGCCCAGATCAAAAAAATGTATGATTGCGAGACTTGCTGCGACACAGGTAGAGTCAAAGGCGGGCACCCATGTCCTACCTGTGGCGGAGAGAAGCGCTGGGCGGCGCAGACAACAGGTTTCAGAGTTTACGCACCGTTGGTAAGTGCAGTACCATCCCATACGCTTGATTTCTTGAGCCAAATTGTCGATGGCTTTAACTAACGGCAAGGAAGAAGTAAGGGACTTCAGTGAGTGACTATAGTCAACAACCCTTGGCCTTACTGCATGCGGAGATTATTGGAGGATGGAATGAGCTGCAGTTGGAGATGCGCTTTTTCGTCTGCAGAGTGTAAAACATATCAAAGTGTTGGGTCAGCATCACCAATGAAAGTTAGCACCTACTTGATGATACGAAAGCCGGGACGTTCGAGTGCGGGGTTCAACTTCAGCTGAGATACAACAATGTACCAACAGAATCAACAGCATGCATCACATCTCGTGATCCTGGTCCTGTCTTGGCCACAAGTTGTGATCCCTGTCTAATATGTTCGTTAATGACCAGTCATTTCATGAACCTAACACATGCACTCGTGAAAATACACAAATTTGTCTTCTTTCTTGGTGAGATATCGGGTACAGTCCAGACTTTAGCCGTGAAAAGAAAAACGGTCACCCGCAGCTTCGACAATCGCTGACAGCATACCATTCGGAACGGTCAACAGGCCATTGAATGGAAAACTTCTGCCTGCTTGTTTTGTGACTCATCTAATTGGCCGAGCCGATTCAACGCAGAATGCTTCATTAAGACTGTTATACATTCTACGTGGAAGTCTAACCCGGAAAGCGTGTCAAAGAAAGTGTTCCTCAATTACCTTAAAAGCGAGCCACAGGACGTGTGTTCTGATCAGTCTTCTAACTGTCCGAAACCAACAACAGAAACTTGTTTGTAGAAAGCTCTCAACAAATTAAGAGGTACATATATCATAGTGATTACCCCTTGCTTCGACTGTTAACAAGTTAAACAGATACCATCAACAAGCTCGGGTCTACGTGGTCAATGCAACGTTTGTGCCCACTTTTACAATGAGCATAGTCGACACCGATGCAACGGAAGAGATAAAAAAAAGAACAAAAAAGGCAAATACGAATACGTGAAATGTACAGTGTATTGGTATATTTGCCAGCAAGGCGGTCATGATTTTATGGGAGACCGGAAGGATGCCTATTTGGTCTGCCATGATTGCAAGTCTCATCCAGGCGGCGGTCCGGAAGGGACCGGACCTGATGGCATGTTCGCAACAGCCGATGAAGCTCAGGCTTATGACCCTGGCAGGCTCGAGTGGCAGTGGCATCCCACCTATCAGCGTTACTACTACATCGACAACAATGGGAACCCTATTTGGATGGACGACCAGGGACAATCTTCTTCCTCAGCTCAGTAACTGCAGCCAGTTGGAATCAATAAAAGTGTAAACTGTAGAAAGGCTTCAGGACTCTTTCTAGGCTAAAGTAAAGTATTCAAGTCATAATCCAGTCTTCTACTCGTTGCAATGAGACGTCAGACTGGCATCGAACATCGTCAGAACAACTGTCATGCTCGTCATCATCGTCCATACCCAAATCATGCAATGCATCGACCCAGCGGTGCCCGAATATACTTTTCCCAGACATTTCTATCTCAGTAGCAGACCATCGAAAAATATCACCTACAGCATTCTTGGATGCTTTATGATTCAGGTAATAAACAGGTGGCGTAATACCTTCAGAAAATATGAGCTGTGAGTCAGACTCCAATAAATCCCAGCTTTTCAATTCATCAGCAGGCTCAATACGCTTCTCAGTCCCATCATCGAAAAGCCAGGTCCAGCCAGCATACACCCAATAGTGCCTTGGGCAGTTGATATGGGTACGCACCGGTATCTCCAGTTCCTCGTCGCCTATATATCCGAATGGCGGCCAAGGGCAAATTGGCGTGTTTCGGAAAGGTGCTCCTTCTGGTTCGACATCCCATAGCTCGTGCCGCAGCCGCCACACATCTGCTCGAGATACTTGATTACCCATTTGAACGTAGGGCCCCTCTCCACTAAGATCCATGAATGATTGTGGGCAACCTGTCCAAGCGGCCACCTCCGGGATAGGCCTGGATGGGAGGCAAGAAAACAGTGTCTGGAGAAAAGGGATGATAGCAGAGATACTTCTAGTGTTGCCACAAGCGGTCACTCCATACCATAGAGGTGCTATACTCGGTCGGCGTAGTGCAAGAACATGGCCCAGGGTCTCCAGATCACCTCTGTCAATCAGAGGCTTAATAGTCGCAACAATAGGATCACACCAAGGGCTAACCAAGTTGCACTCCACTCCAGGTTCCCAGAATACGGACCAAAGAGCAGAGGAGAGGAATAAAGGGTTCGAACTGAGAGCCATGTAGCGATCTAACCTGCAGTAATCCTTCTTGATTCCGAAATGGGTATGCGGCATAAACTGTGATGTGATAAGACGTGGCTTTGGAAGCTGCACCATTGACGAAGTGTCGTTATGGATTGGGAGTGTTAACGCCATTGCTAGCGCCAGAGCAGATTGACTCTCCAGGTTATATCTTGAGGCAAACCGAGAAAGAAACTCAACTGCTTGCTTGCTTGAAGGGGGGTTGCAATGCGATGATGCAGGAGCCCTCTCAGCTCTCACAACTCGAAAATTCATGTTCCCTGTGTAGGCGACAGACCATATTGGTTGATCAGGGATTGGCGATCGCCATCCCTGGCCAGGAGTGAGAAGGGAAACCCACCAGCGATACTCCTCATCGCTAGCGTTGCCAAGTTCTACCGTAAGCCCATGTTCCAGTTCGTCTTCGGTCCCCCATGTCTGTGATGACGTACTGCTGTAGAAGACTGGTATACGTTGTTTCTCGAGAAGGGTCATACAGAGTATATAAGCCCAGCCAAAGAACAAGCATGCGATGCCATTTGATTCGCTGTCCGAGTGATCAAAACTGCTGCTGTTCGATATAGAACAAAGTGTCGGCCGCCGCCTTGTCGGTTTCCACCGTCGCTTGCCCTCGGATCGGCTTCTGTGGGACATTGTACATCCCGTCGATTTCAACTTCCAAGTTGCCAGTCCGCAGAATTCTGTCATACCTTGCATGTTGTCTGGTATTGCTGGTAGTCCCTCACTCATACTGGCAAGGTTAACGGTGTCGCGCACGAAGGACTTTGAACCGGCTTTTGTAGCGAGCCCTTGCCAGAGCTGACTGCTCCAAGCGTAGATTGGAGCAATCTTCTCTGCGGTCGGAGTGACATTATCTTCTTGAATTTGGTGACATTCAGAGTCAAAACTGGTATTTGTCGATGTTGAAGGGACACTACTAGACGACATTCTGATACTTGGTGTGGAACCAACTTTTTGAACGTGGACGTAGATGGGCTTTAAATAGCTGGCTGGGTTGCGCGCCACAATAACCCCACTATAATCCTCAAGCCACAGCAGATGGACTAGGGGAGAAGGAAATAACCTCCACACCAGGCGCCACAGAAACACGTCTTCGTGCACATCCATGATGCAGCTTGCTCTCTTGCCGGGTGCAACAAGTAGGTGTACGGTCACAGGGCGTGACCCAAACTCAGACCTACTCATTAAATCCTCGTTAGTTTGGCTCTTCGTTACCCGGCTACTTTCACCATGTATTCATTCTCGAGCGTTGGTGATGCAGCTTCATGCCGTGAAGCCCAAATATGCATGCGGTTGTGTTGGCCTCTTCAAGCCACTTATCTTTGGGCGTCGACCAAGTTTATTCTCCGGCGGCTCATAGGGCTCACAACATCGATAGCTTCCCAGACAACATACATTTGATGGTTCACCAATCAAGAACTCCTCGATTGTTTCCACGTTGTGCTATGGGGACGAGTCCGGTGTTACCGGAAACGGGCGGGGCAATATGCAGGCATTACCCCAGAAGAATTGCTGCACCATAGTGGCTACCAGTCACGACAAAGTTGCGCCACGGCGGTTACCAGCAACAAATGGGGTTGTGTATCCTTGGTACCAGTCACGACTTTGACAAGCTACCAGCACGTACTGCTCCCTGCAACAGCCGTAGAGCATTTGCTAGTAGCGCTTAGCTACTGGCAACGGCAATGTAGCAATTACTGGTACCTATTCGCTGCCGCCAACATCTTCTTCGGCGGTTACCAGCCGCTAAAGGCTACTAGTCACCGTACCTGGGCTTCTACTGGCAGTCCTGATACTTATTTATTTATTTATTTATTTATTTATTAATTCATCGACTGTCCCAGCCGCTTAAGCAGCTATGCAGCGTTCGACTAACATACAAATGCTTCTACCTTTCACTTCTGGATGACAAGCCGCTCCCGCCAGAGCTACTTCCTCCCATCTGCTCCAGGCAGCTACATGTTGCCGATAGTCCTAATGACTGTTCTGTATCTATGTACTTGTCAGGCCCTTCCCGGCCCTCCTCGACTTCTGTTTAACAATAATCACTCGTTCGCGTGGCTGTTGCGTTCTGTGGGCAGAGCTATCTCTTGTCCTCCTAGTTCTCTTGGCTGTTTGTACTACTGTTTGCGGGCTGCTTAGTTGAATTGAGCAACACCCGCTAGAGTAACCATGATTGGAATGCGCTATTTGAGTGCCGATGTGACCGTAATTGCAGGAGTTGTATGATTTGTGACATGCTCGGTGCTGTTTCGGGCCATGTCGAGCCCACCTCCGCCAAAGCGTCATCACAGCAGATTGACGCGTCTAGACACTTTAATTGAAGTAACTGTTTGTGGAGGCAGGCTGACTGTGAGTTCTGTAATCTAGCGTGTCTTCATAGATAAGTTCTGAGCTGTTGGTGGTGTTGTTACCAATTTGTGTAAGTGTTTGTGGCGCTGAGTGTGACTATGTTGAATAGCCCAACTCTGTGAAGTACTTTTCTTTTCGTGCAGTTTGTTTAACCATATCCTCTCTTCCGTCCCGTGTGCTAGCGTACTTTGCCAGTTGTAGATCCGTAAACTATTGCCGGGCAAGAAAATGAAGTGACAAGGTTCACTTTCCATCAAAGGGCGCATCTGGAGGGAGGGCATCACTCCCTTCATATACTGTACTGTATGTTTGTTGTTTCGTGAGGTTCTTGAATTTGGCTTTACGCTGCGTCAACGCACAGGTAGAGGGTATTGTGTCCGTGGAGATGTGTTCTGTGCTGTTGGTGGTCGTGTTGTTGGTGGGCATATCCATCCCTTCGATTTCGCCTCTCCGCCGCGTATTCCTCAATCTCCGGCACCGTAAACAATTGTCGGGCAGGACAAATGGAGTACCCAAGTCCATTCTCCATCGTGGGGCGTACCGAGGCAGGGGCGCAACTCCCTTTACGGTACTGGGGCTGTGATGTTTGGTGTTTCGTGAGGTTCGGATGACTGACTTTCGGCGTTGTCGAAGCGTCATTGTTTGGGGATGGTGCTGTTCTTGTTTGTATTGGCGGCGGTCTGTCCCCTCTTCCAGCGTCTCGGTCGCGTCCTTCCCAAATGTGTGATGCCGTAAACTCTTGTCGGGCAAGAAAATAGGTCCCTCAAGTCTATTTTCCATCAAAGTGCGTATGTGATAAGGGCCGACGTTCCCTCCCACGTACTGGGGCCGTAATGTGAATGTTTCGTGAGGTTCGCACAAAGGGAATTGGCGTGTTGACGCGTCAGACGGGGGTACCCGCGATCTGGACCAGACACCTACCCAGGCACCTAGAGACAGCCGTACAGTCTCTGCGAAGGTTCCTAGAGGCCGTCTCGTGAATTTTTGTCAAAATCAGCTTTGCAATGGAATATGAACTCTCCAAAGGTCTTCCATTGTGCTGTTAGTGTCGTGATATGATCTCAAGCGTGGTGCGTGGCTGAGTGGCCTGTACAAACTTTCCCCCACTAACAAGCTGCTAACAGCACCAAGTGGGGGGAAATGTTTACAGGGGAGAGGGTATTGACGGTATTGTTGCTAGTAGCAAGTGCACGTATGTTGGTGGTAACCTCGGCTGCTCCAGGCCAACCATGCAACCTGCAGAGCGATTTCACTGAGCAATAGTCCTCAATAGGGCCAAGAACACGTTCAAGCCGGATATTTAAAATGGGGTAATAGTGTGTATATTTATATCTAACTATCTATTATTTAGTTTAATTCGCGCTTCTTTATATTTACGTAATTAAACTTACTTCTCTCTCTCTTTTAAGAGGCGTAATTAAATTTATTAATTATTAAGATTTTTACCTTTTTAATTACTAGTTTCTTATATAATTAATTATATAATAAGAAGATAAGTACTTAAAATACTTAAACTTTAATAGATTTATTTAATACTTAACGTATTTCTTTTAAGTATATATATTTATATATATAAATATTATTAATTAACGCGCGTTTTAAATATAAAGTTTTAAGTAAAGTAACTTTCTTTTATTATTAGATTTTACTCTTTAAGGTTTCTTATTATTACTTATAAGAGATATTTATAATTAAGTATAAGATAGCTTTTTAATGTAATTAAGGTTAATTAAAGAAAGATTTATTATTTATAAACTAATTATAAGCTAAGTAAAATACTTAAATATAAGTAGATTTATACTCTTATTTAATAAGGTCTTACATTTACGTAATACTCTTTACCTATTAATAAGTTTTTTATACTTAAAAAAGAGAGTATAAAAATAATCAATATTTAAGAGTATAAGTATAAAAGTTCTCTTAGAATTCTTTTACTTAGCCTTAAGCTATATAATAGAGAAAGTTAAGAGGCTTAAATTAATATTAATCTTATAATTAATAGATTTTAAGGGTAGCTTATTAGAGTTATTAAAGGAATTTTATTTATTATTATTAATACTATTATAATTACTTATATTATTAAGCGATAATATAATTATTATTATAGAATTCTAAGAGAAACTAGGCGATAAAGATAAGTAATTTTAAGTGTTAAGCTTATTTATATTAGTATAACTCCCTTTATTACGCGTAATATAAAATTTAAAATAATAGAAAAGAAATAAAAGAGATACTTATTAATTAAATGCTTTAAGTTAATTATACTTAAGTTATTTAGCCTTTATATAAGTGAAATTTGAGCTATTAACCTTAGCGTTAATTAGTTAAGAACGTAAAAGCTTAACTTAAATTATATTCCTATATTTAATAGGCTTTATTAACCTAATATAATGTGGGTAAGCTTTCTAATTATTTATTTAAGTTTATAAATAGTCTTTAGTATAATCGTTTACCTTATTTTAAATCTTATTATTCTTTTATTTCTGCTACCCAAAGAATTCGCATTCTTATAGCGGTGCTTACAGCTCCACTCTTTACTTCCCCGCTCGCTCTTCCTTCTCTATCCACTAATAATCCTTAGTGCTTAGCCTCGCCGTAGATACGGCTAAGAGTTCTCTTATATTATTTAATAGTGGTAACCTTAAATAACGTATTATTAAAATTATTAAAACATTTAAGAACACGTAATATAACGCGAGAAGTTAAAAAGCTAATAATTAAACGGTTACTTCTTAGCCTATTATTTAACAGATAATATTTAGCCTTTAACCTTTCACGTGAAAGCACTTAATTAATGTAAGGGAAGATATAAATAAATATAATATTAATAGTTTAAGAGAAGAGGCATAATAAGATTAATATAATATATACGCTATAAAAGAATATAATTATAGGTTATAAACTTACGTTAAACGTAATTTAGTATACTTAAGCCGTGGTATAAGAGTAAGGTAACGTTAGCGAACTAATCCCAAGCATATTAACCTAATGTTTCTAGCCGCTAGAAGGTTAGCTAAAAAGTCCTAGATAACGAAATTAAAGTGGTTAAGCCTCACGAGTCTCATAGGGCAACCGGATAAGGCAAATCTTGCGAGACAGTAGGAAGGGTTAGCCGCCCCCACCGCCTAAATCCGATTATAAGCATTAAAAATCATTTCGGACACGCCAAGGCACTGGAGGTAACCCATCACGAGAGCTGGTCATCACCAGCAGGCCATCTTCGCTGGCTTTTTCGATGGGAGAGAAGGGTATCGAGAAGCGTCAGTGTCTGTAGAGTCGGCGAACGATTCGAAGTCATTCGGCAGCAAACCGTAGACTCGTGGATTGCTAGTCGACTTGGTGCAAAGATTCGTGTCGTGATGATCATAGTGTTACGAACGTCACTGCACGAGA